TTCAGTCCAACTTGGAGAGCCCACAGTGTCCTCACGCCTGTTGCTCCCTGGCCTGTTCCAAGGGCCTCGCCAGGGTCTCCCCGATCCCCCTTTTTAATTGAGAAATTAATAAGAGAAACAGAATCGAGGCCTAGTCATGCCTGGGAAACTGCTGAGATCTCCCCGCCCCCACTCACTACATTTCTTTCATCTTCCCCCCCCCCCCAAAAAAAAAAGTAATACCATTAGGTCATCTCCCTTTTTTTTTCTATTTCTGGGAAAATCTTTATTTTGTGTATTTCTCAGGCCTCTTGACATGCTGTCTCAGACTAACGGAGGATCACTTCCTTCCAGTTCCCCTCAAAATTCCTGCTGGTTTTATCTTTTGCAAACGCCTCGGTGCTGCAAAGCAAACCCCCTCCCTCTGTGTCCCCCCCTTCTTGCCTCCCCCCCCCCCGCCTCCTTGTGAAGAAGAAAGGGCCCCTGGCTCTCTGAGGTCTTTAGGCAAAGCAGATACATCCCCACAGAGCCTTCAAAGGTGCCCCCTCCAAAGCTGCAGAACTGCCCGTTAACTCTTTCAAAGAGCTTTAGTCGGCGTGTGAAAGCTGTCTGGGTTCATTGATTAAAAAAAAAAAAAAAAAGAAAGAAAGAAAGAAAAAACTGGTATTGTTTTTAGCACCGTTGACGGTATTAGTGAGTCGTATCAGAGGACAGTGAGTCTTTGCAAGAGGCTGTGGCTACCTTTCACCTACTTGTTGCCTTAAACCATGAAAGGACGTCGGAGTAAAGATGCCCCCGCCACAACAAGACGTCCCCAGAGAGGCCGGCAGGACGCCTCTCCCTCCCACACCCCAAAGAGTTAAGCAGAAATGGTTAATATTCCTCCCTTCGGCCCCTACGTCCCGTATTCTAATGTATGAACTCCCTCATTCAGACGTGAGAGAGCCGCACATGCTTGCCGGGCTTGGCGACAGACGCCTCGCCTCCCCTGCACGACACGTATGGTCTCCACTGAAATGTGTGTCAAAGCACAATTTTATGAACACGTATTGCTCACCTACACCATAGGCCCCCACCGTGCGTGCACGCATGTGCAGCCCCACGTTCCGAGTGGGGTTCCCTTTGTCCCTTTTCGTCCGAGGGCTCAGCCCGAGGTGAGAAAGAGGGAGCAAGGTTATTAAGAATTCTGACAAGGTAGGCTGAATAAATTGTGTTTTCTTTGTGCGCCTTAATCCAGTGTTGTATTGCCTTCTCGGACATGGCTAATTTATTTGGAATTTCATTCTGTTCCTGACAGCGTCCTTGACTAGCTGTTTGATCACCTCGAGCAAAGTTACATACCAGCTTTCAACTGTTGGAAGGGCAGCGGTGTAATTTTTCTCAAGTGCATTCTCCTGGGTCCGGCTTTATGCTCGCAGCAGAATCTTTCAGATGGCTGGGGCCATCCCTTGTCGGGGGGGGAGAAGCCGGCCCGCGCAGGGGTCTCCCTCGGGGAGGAAGCTCTCCACTTTCCACTTTTCCCCACTCGTCCCACTGTTGGGGATTTTAATCTGCTTTTGTGGGGCAGGAAGAAAGAAAATTAATTTTCGCCTGTCTGTGCTTAGGGAGCTTTTTAGTGGAAACCCAGTGTGAAATGCATGTTCTGTTGACTTCAGTGCCCCCCCCCCCCCCCCCCCCGCCCCGCATGCAGGCTGCGTTTTGAGCTGCAATATTCTCAGGGGAAGAGGTAATTCAGCCACAAAACTTCCGAGGGTGATAACCCCCGGTCTACACCACTCCTCGTTTCTCCAGCAACTTGTGCCTTTCCTGGCAGAAAGAGGAGTTGACCTTCCTTCTCTCTTAACTCATATTTCTGTAATGTTTGCTTGTTTATTTTTTGTAATAGCAAGCATGTCTGCTTATAGAAAAAGAAAAAAATAATGATGATTTTCATTACGCCTCCAACACCTCTGAGCACCTCACTCTTAGCACAATTGTGGCTGGTGGTTTTATAATTTGGGCAGAATCCGGTCTAATGGAAACCCATGCTTCCTTTACTTCGGGCTCTTGATCCCGATGCACACACCTTCCTACCAAGCGCCTTCTAGGTGCCCGGAACGGTGCTAAGCCCCTGGGGATCTGGTGAGAGCTCACATGCTAGACACACATCAGAGATTTCAGAGACATCAGTGCCACGATGAAAGTGAAAAACAAAACCAACCAACCAACCAAAAACCAGGGTGATATGCTGGATGGATCCTGAGTGAGAGGATACCGCTTCCCTCACCGACTCCTGCCCCGGGTTCACCCAAATTCACGGTGATCCTGAGCGGAATTCTGGGGCCTACTTTTGGCCTTTGAGTTTGTCCCGACCTGCAGGGGAGCTGGGCGTTCACCCCCGCTCCAGCTGGTCCTGGGCAGGAAAGCCTCCAGGGTGTTCCCGGGCTCCATGCTGGGCAGCCCCCACAGCCGAGCATATCCCCTGGAGGAGACCAATGGACATTGAAGCCAGGGGTCGGGGGCACAGAGGTGGGAAAAGGGTCCCAGGTATCAGGGTGCGGCCCTGACCATGCCCCAAGCCCATCATCGCTGAGAATTATGAAATGATTAGAATGGGGAGCACATAATGTCCGCACCATGGGGGATGGTGGGAACTGAACGGGCTTGTCTGCTGTGCTGTCTCATCACCGAATTATTTTCTCCTTGTGGGTGATGGCCACCATACCCATTTAAGGTCTGCTGCACCTGCACATCAGGTAGACCCCAGGGCTGGGCACAGCCATGACACTGTCCAGGGGATGGGGGCATTCACTTCCTCTCCTGAAGGGCGTGCTGACCTCAGCCTTGCCGACTCTGGGGCCCGGGGACCTCTGTGCAGGAACGGGGAGGCCTCCGTGATCCTAAGGAGTCTGGGTGCGTGGATACCACGTGACCAGGGCGCTGTTGACTTTGCGTGTCCCATGGTGCACTTGGCAAACAGAGAAATTTACCCAAGGCCACCTTGTCCCCATCTGCTGGGTGGGGAGCCACAGAGCGGAGGTGGAGGACGGGGCTCCGCCTGGCGTGTGCTCGCCCCTCCGGCTGGCCCAGGATGCCCACCTGGAGAGGCTGACCACGCAGGTAAGCAAAGTGCCCGCTCAGGAACCAACCTGTTTTCCTCCCCAAGTTCATGGCCGCTTTCCCATGGGACCTCGCTCCAGATGCAGATGGGTGTGTCCGGGAAGGCATCTCCTGTACACCACAGAGGACTTTTCTGCAACACTCTGGAAGCCCTTATCAAGCAGCCACATCTTCAAGAATGCTCTCTGTGATTACTGCTTCCACGTTGGGCTCCCACTAAGTTCTCATGTGAGTTTGAAGTGACCTTCAAACCTCTGCACAAAGTATATAAGCCCAGAGCTTAATGTCACCTGTAAGAGTCATGGTCAGCAAATGCGCTGGGTCACCTGGCCGGATCCACTGGCTGGCAGCTCTCTTCGTGGACAGAGGCAGAAAAAGGCATTTGCCACCCAGAGAGCAAAGAAGGGCACGTTGCACTTTCAGTCGGGGTGATAGCTGAGCTTACAGGGGTGAGTGTTGATGGAGGGATGCCAGTGGGGCTCATTGTGGGTCTGGTCCATGGTGAGCATCCAGCACACGTTTGCTGGGATCATCATTATGAAAACCACAAGCGAGTGCTCCCACCCTACCCCTCTGCCCATCTTAGGTTGTGCTCCTTGTCAAAGCCTTTGCATTTAGTCCTTAGATAGAGCCTTCTGGAAAGGCTGAGCCTGAGCACACTCTCATTTTGTAGGTAAAGAAGAAATTCAGGAACTGACTTCAGGTGGCCTGCACTCCTGGAGGCCCCTGAGCCTTCTGTCTGATGAGGTACCTGCGGCTGGACCATCTCCCAGGTGAGGACGTGCTTGGGTCCCCAGAGACCAGACTTTCAGAGACCTTGGCTCCTCCCTGCCGGGCCCTCTGAGCTCCAGCTGGGGCCCCTTTGTGTTCTGAGGCTATAGGGTTGGAGTTGGAGGACGTGACCAAACTGTCTCTTCTCCCAGGAAAGCTTGGCTGGGTAAGGCCAGATGTGGGGGGTGGGCAGAGGCCAACGAGGTGTGCTCCGCTGTGCACATCCGGGCTCCGGTGTGTCTGCGTATGCGAGCGTGCATGCCTGGGTGTGGGTGTGAGAGTGTGTGTGTGCCAGACAGAGAAGGAGGAGCGGATGCTGTCATTTCAGAGACGGCGTGGGAACATTTCTCAGGACGTCCTCTGTGGCGGCCGGGGGACAGTCGGCCACCCCGCGGCCCGCGCCCGCGCTGCTCCCTGGACCCGCGCGCGCGGCCCTTCTGCTCAGACCGCAGCCCTCTGCCTCGCTTTCCCGTGACGGGTCTGTGCCCAGAGAGGTGGCGGCCCCGGCCCCGCGTCGCCTGCGAGCGGAGGCCCAGGGTCACAGCGACGGCGACAGGGGACCCCGCGGGCCGGGCCCTGCTGGTGAGCGCGCAGGTCTCCCCGGGCGCGGCCCCGGCGGGCTCGTCTCCGCCGCCGCGCGCCCCCCTCCCCGCGCGCCCCCCCCTCCCCGCGCGCCCCAGCCCTGCCCCGCCGCCGCCGCCGCCGCCGAGTGGTAGCTAATTGCGCGGAGAAAGGGCCCGATTGTGCGCGCGCCGGAAGCGCGGGCGTGGGCGGCTGAAAGAGCCGGAGAAGGTGGCCGCCTCGCCCCGCAGCTGCCGCCCGAGCCGCTGGGAGGTGACGTCAGCGCTGGCGAGCGGGGCGCCGGGCGGAGCGGGGGGCGCTCGCGGCCTCCCGCCCCGGCCGCGCCACAATGCGGCCATTGTCGGCCCCCGGGCTGCGCGCGGCGTGAATGGCGCCCGGGCCTCTTGACCGGGGAGGCCGCCAGGCTCGCCCTCCGGCCTCTCAGCCGCCAGCGAGGCCCGGGGATCGGAGCGAGGCCGCCCCGGGCCGCCCCGGGGGGAGCCGGCGGGCCCCCTTGCGCCGCCCTGGGAGCGCCCCCCGCCCCCGCCCCCCGCCCCGGCGGGCCCCAGCCCCCCCGGCCGCCTGGCCGCCCATCTGACCCTCTGCAGAGCGGGCCTGCACCCCAGGACTCGGGCCTGCGCCCCAGGGCTGGGCCCTGCGCCGCACCGCGCGGCCTCTGCATGGCCTCCTGGCTCGCGGGAAGCATGGGCTCCGACCCGCTCATGGTCCTGCTGGTCCTCATCCTGCTAGCGCGCTTCATTCTCTGGTCCTGCCTTGGCACCTACATTGATTATAAACTGGCCCGGCGGCAGCCCCGCAAACCCAAGGAGGACTAGGGCCCCTGGCGGCCGGCGGCCTCTGAGTGTCGCGCACGGGCGGGTCTTCCCCTCCAGGAGGACACTGTCCCTGAGGTGTCCTGTCCTGAGGCTGAGGGTGTGTGGGGGGGTGGGGCAGGACAGGCAAACCACTCCTGTATCCCACCCACATGGCAGAGATGGACTGTGTGCTACCCAGACTGACCAGGGCTGTCCTGGTGACATCCCACGTCCCAAGTCAGGACAGAGGGGCCACCACTGCCTGTCTGTCCACCAGGTTCTGGGGTCTGCTGTTGGAGTGAGTGATCGCGAGGGCGGGTCTTGCTTTAAGACTCTCTCTGCCTCCAATTCTTTATAAATACGTTTGCAGGACAAGGTGGGGATGAGCCAGAGGGCTGGGCGGTAGGAGGGAAGGACAGATGTGGTTACATCACAAGCCAGGCCTGCCACCAGAAGCTGCCCTGTGTCTCAGCTTCCTCTTGTCTCCCCCCCGCCCTCCCCCCCGGGAGGAATAATAGTTCAGACAACTGCCTTGGTTCTCCCTTAAGCAGACCCCTGGAGGGTCTTAGGACAGACTTGCGACGCCTGAGTTCAAGCCCAGCTCTGGTTGACTGTGGGTAAACTCTCTTTCTCCATCTCTAAAATGGGCACAATAATCCCTGCCTCCCTCAGAAGGGTATGAGGAGGGTTGGATGAGGGGTGGGGTGGCAAGCCCCCCATATTCTGCACACCATGGGACGTGTGGAGGCCAATGGAGAAGAGAAGCCAGGAACCCAGGGCCCTTTCTTCCTTTCTGCTTTTGTGTGTCTGAGACGCTCCTCCGAAGGCTGACAGGCAGGAAGCTCGACACGAGCCAAGAATCTGGCGCTTCCTTGCCGCCCACCTCCCCGTCACACCCTGCCTGAGCAGCAGGTGGTAGCTGGGTGCTTCTCATCCTGGCGGCAGATTCTAATCGCCCTGCAGATTTTAGCAAACACGATGGCCAAGTGCCCCCCGCCCCCGACCAAGAAGCAGGGGCAGGGGCAAGATGTCCCCGGTTGCACTGTGCCTTCCCATGGGGACTGGGGACTTCTGTCAGAGCAGAGTCTTAGGGAGCTGAAGTCACTGAGCTGGGCGAGCAGACTCAGGAAGCCCCGGCCAGGAGCCGCGCCCCCTGGCCTTTCGGCATCCTGGCGGAGGGGCGATGGGCCTGAGCCGGGGATGCGGTGGGACCTGATGAGCTCACCGACACCGTGAAGATCTTGTCTTGCTCCCGAAGGACCTGCTATGCTCGAGACAACCGCAGAGACTGGGGAACTGGTCAGCAGAAGCAGTGACCTTCTGGGGGCGGGACGGACCAACACCAGAGACTTTTGCTGGTGGGGTGTCTTGGAGGATGGTTTAGAGGTGAGGATCTTTTCTTACAGATGACAGTCTGGGAAGTCTGCACAGGGTGGGGTTTCCATGCATGGATGCATCCAGGGCTGAGGCGGGCGGTGGCTGTCCTCTGGGCCATTGTATTGGCCAGTGGCCCAGCAGAACTGACATCCTCACTGTGTCAAGAACCTGATTGCAGGATTAGGGGAGAAGGTGTTCTCATTGTTCTTGAGGAAAATGTCGTCCAGTTCTCTTTAAAATGATCGTGCATGATTTTACCGATCTCTTTAAGAAGAATCACGGTTGTTACCACGGTCGTATAACAAGGAGGGTGGCCGACCATTCTGGTTGGCCTCGGACTGCCCCAGTTTTAACACTGAAACTTCCATGTCCTGGGAGACCCCTCCCTCTCGGGCAGAGCGCTCCCCACCCCTGCTCTGATGGAGGAAAAGTCAGTTCACACAGCCTGCTGATGTGTCTCCAGCCTGCCCGTAAGCCACCTGCCGCCTGCATGTGCACACGGGTGCGTAGAACGGCATCCCCCCCAACACACGTGAGGTTCACCATTTGGTCCAGTGGGCCAGAATTCCGGGGCTCTCACTGCAACCCTTTCTGTGGGGGTTGTCTGGAGAGAGGACAGGAACAGGAGGCTGCTACCAACACAAGACCCCGGAAGAAGACCCGATTCTGCCAGTGTTATTTGAGCCCCTTTCCCCTTACACTAGTCCATATATTTCTTTTTTTCCCCCTCTCAAGCCAGTTTGCATTGGTTTCTTTATTCACAACTGACAAATTCTGATGCGTGCAGGTCTCTGCATCCACACACCATCCATCCATCTACAGCCTCACGACGCATGCCTGGCTCAGAACGAGCACTCAAGGGCGCCTGGGTGGCTCAGTTGGTTAAGCGACTGCCTTCGGCTCAGGTCGTGATCCTGGAGTCCCGGGATCGAGTCCCGCATCGGGCTCCCTGCTCGGCAGGGAGCCTGCTTCTCCCTCTGACCCTCCCCCCTCTCATGTGCTCTCTCTCTCTGTCTCATTCTCTCTCTTAAATAAATAAATAAAAAAAAAAAAAAAAAAAAAAAAAAGAACGAGCACTCAAGCCATGGCATCTGAGTGCATGAGAGGATGTGCCCTGGCCTGATACCAGGCAGCCACTGCATCCGGCTGCAAGTAACAGACAAGTAAACAGTGACTTCAGCAGGAGAAGCTTTTTTTTACCCCTTCGTTTTTCAGATCGCCTGAGCTGAAGGCAGATGCCTCATGACTGAGCCACCCAGGGGCACTTACCTGTTTCTTCTAATGTGTTTTAATGTTGCTCCTAGAAAATTTAAAAGTACATATGCAGCTCACATTTTTATATCACACAGCATTGTGCCAGAATTGCATAATGTAGAGAAAGTGCCCTGGTGGGCACATGAGCTATGTGTTATAGGAACGCAGAAGGGGGCTTTCAGGAGGACAGTTTGAAATAATGTAAGTACTACACACCAGAGCTTATGAGATGCAGCTAAAGCTGTTCTTACCTTAAATACTTATATGAACAAATAAGGGAGAATGAAAATTGATGAATTAAGTATATGGCTCAATAAACTTAAAAAAGAACACCAGAACAAAGCTAAGAAACACTGAAGACAGAGAAATAAAGATAACAGGAAATTAGTGTAATACCAAAGTGATAGAATTAAATGTCCCCAGGTCCTGGATTTTTAAAAAATAACATTTCTTACGGATTTCCTTCTCCTTTTTTCTTTTTCTTTTTAAACATTGTGTTAAAATACACACAATGTGGGGCGCCTGGGTGGCTCAGTTGGTTAAGCGACTGCCTTTGGCTCAGGTCATGATCCTGGAGTCCCTGGATCGAGTCCCGCATCAGGCTTCCTGCTGTCAGCAGGGAGTCTGCTTCTCCCTCTGACCCTCCCCCCTCATGCTCTCTCTCTCTATCTCATTCTCTCTCTCAAATAAATAAATAAAATCTTAAAAAAAAAAAATACACACAATGTAAAATTTACCATCCTAACCATTTTTTTTTTTAGAGTGAGAGAGTGAGCACAATTTGGGGGGAAGGGCAAAGGGAGAGGGAGAAAGAGAATCCCAAGCAGACTCCCCACCCAGCATGGAGCCTGACGTGGGGCTTGATCTCATGACCCTGAGATGGCCTGAGCCGAAATCAAGAGTCGGAAGTTTAACTGACTGACTGAGCCACCCAGACACCCCCCATCTTAACCATTTTTAAGTGTATATATAGTTCAGTGGTATTTTTGAGAGAAAAAACCCCAACAATCAATCACATTCTTACGCGTTAAATTTACCAGTAAAGAGTGAGCTCATGAAACCCTAGGCTCCCACCCTTGACCTGAATAAAAGCAGAACCCCAGAGCCATGTACTCTCTGACTCTCCAGCTGTAACCCAAAGCCTTGCTATGGCCCCAGCTGTGCTGTGTATGTTCCAGGTCTAAACCTTCCTTTTTTCAAAGTTTCCTGATGGTTGCTGCTGAAGAGCATCTTGTAATCACAGTAAGAACCACAGGGGCCAGTCTAACCACAAGCTTGGTTATTGGGAGGCTAAGACCACACATAACACCTCCTTTAAGACAAAAAGGTATAAAGGCCCAGAATACTTCAAAGGAGGACTCCCACCACACCAAATACTCAACACTATTTACACTCCTCTAGCTCATATAAGAAGGAAAGCTCCCAATTCTTTTTATGTAGTAAGCATCTCATTGATACCCAAATCCGCCAAAGATAGCACAGAAAGAAGAAATGCATGCCAGTGTCACTTAGAAATGTTGACCCAAAAATTCGAATCACTGAATTAAAGCATTGCATCAGAGGGGTAAAACATCATGACCAAGCGGGGTGGGTTCCAGAAATGCAAGGATGGTTGAATACTAGAAAATCAGATAATATTATTTCCTATAGTAATAGCTCCAAAGAGAAAAATAATTTCTTAGTTTCCTTAGATTTATTTCCAAAGCTATTTGGATAAAATTCACATCTGATCTCAATAAAATGCATCATGAAACAGAAGAAATAGATAATACGTTGCTCTGTTTTTAACCTGAAAGTGTAGTTCTCTCTTAACAGGGAAGGTAGCATCACGACGAGTAGGGTAGTGCCCGCAGCGTCCCCATGGAGGGGAAGGTGCTCACAGCCGCTGGATGGGGTTCTGGGGTGAGGCGGGGCTTGAATGACTGGGAAAGAGGAAGCAAGTACAGAGAGGTAGGGACACTGGGGAAGAGAAGGACAGACTCACGTTAGTCACAGTGAGATGGATGGTCTCTTGGGAAAAACGGAAGAGCATCCACTGAGAATGATGGCAAATGGTTAACAATTCAGGGAAGTGGGCGGGTCCAGGTCACTATGGAGAAACCACATGCTACAGGCAGTCTATACGGGGGTACGTTGGCACAAAGGACCCCATTTATAAGAGCAACGTGAAGAACAGAGTACCTGGGAGCAAACTTCATGAGACATGCGTCAGATGCTTGGAAGGTTGAATTGTTCCTTCCCATAGATTTTGGGGTGCACTTGGATGCTGCAGATTTCCTGCAGGTGGGAGACCCAGGGAGTGAGGGGGCTGGTAGGGAAGGAAAGTGGCAGGGGCAGAGGAGGGGGTCACACCTGACCCTCGAAGACAGACCTGACCCTGTCTGTCTCTCACTTCCTACTCTGATGCCCCGGTGACCTGCAGGAGGAGCCTGGCGCCCCACTCGGACCTTCAGAATGCAAACACCGAAGACTCCTCCAGACCAGCCTTCTGGGCCATGCACTCTGGCAAATGTCACTGCAGCTTAGCCAAGACTGCAGAGCAAAGCCACTACCTTTTTTGGGAGGGTGGAGGGTGCTCACATGTAGGGTGGCTAATTGTCATGGGACTGAGGGGTGTGCTTGGGATTGGGGGTTCCCTGTGACGCATCTGTGGTGGCTAAAATCAGGAGCGTCTTGGGCGCACTGGGATGGTTAGTCATCCTAGTTGTATGAAGTTCTGGGTAGTGATGAATTAAACTATCCAAAGAGAGTTCTGATCTTTGCCCTGGGAGGGGATCTTAGGCCCTTGGAATGTTCTGCTTGATCAAAGTGTCCTTGTGTACCTGGGACCCTGGGCCACTTGGGACAGTCTAACAATGGGATTTGTTATAGGGGTTTTGTTTCCACCTGATCTCCAGAGGGGCTGGAGACTGAAGGCTGGATATGTCGCTGGTCAACCATGTCTAGGGGGTCCAGCCCAACAAAACTGCACACCAAAGCTCATTTTGGGGGGAAGCTTCCTGGTTAGTGATACTCTGTGTGTGTCACACATCCTCGTGGGGTGGAGCTGACACCGTCCATGACCCCATGAGGAGAGGACAACCAGAAGCTCTGTGCATGCACCCTATCTGGACTCTGCTCCCACGCACCTCTGTCCTTGG